CAAATCCCCCCCCGCCCCTACCCTCGGGCGCTTCTTCTATGCCGTACGCCCCCTCCCCCTTCCCTCTGTTCGCAGCCCCCACCCGCCGACGACTACGAGGCCGTCCTCGCCCGCCGTGCTCACCTCGGACATCGTGCAGTGCCGGTCCACGCTCACGGTACTCATCACGCTCTACGCCTTCGCCCCGTGGGCTGCGTACCTTGTCGTATGGTACTCTGGCTTCGTCGTGCAGCCCTACCCACAACAGCATCTTCGGGATGGGCGCCTTTCCCTTGCGGGCATTTCCTGGCTGCCGTCGTTTGAGAGATGTGCAAACGGAAGCAGTCTGCGTGGATTAAGGAAGGCAAGCATGCTGCTCGCTGCGATGCGCGAACATAGCTATGTATCTACATACGTGCAATGCTACCGTTGCACCCCATCCATCCGTGAGTGGAGGCTCCGCATCAAGTCAGCAGCGCCGGCAGTCGTGGACCGAATCCCCAGAGCTCCGCGCCAGATTCTGTGAAGAAAAAGCAAGACCAGGTCAGCTTGCGCCGAGTTGCAGCGCCGGCAGACGCACCCGGTGAATCCTACGACTCCGCACCAAATTCCCTGAAAAAACAGCAAGACACAGTCAGCCTTGCACCAAGTCGCAGCACCGGCGGACATACCTCTGTCGCATTGCCAAGACTCTGCGTCAAAGTCAGCAGCGCCCACGCACGCACACCCACCCCATTAATCCCAAGGCTCCATGTCAAATTCTGTGAAAAAAAAACACAGCACAGTCAGTCTTGCGCTAAGTCGCAGCACCGGCGCATGCACCTCCGTCCCATCCTCCCGTGAGTCCCCAAGGCTCCGCGTAAAAAGTCAGCAGTGCCCGCACACGCACACGTACACGCACCCCCTGAATCCCTGACTCTGCGCTAAATTCTGTGAAAAAAACAAAACAGTCAGCATTTCGCGCTGAGTCGCAGCGCTGGCCGCGGACGCACCTCCGCCGAATCCGCAGCCCATAATGGCTATGATGATCTATGTCATCCATATTAAAATGATGATATGTCTGTGGTTTGTGCAGCCTTGATCCAATATGAAACTACAGTCATTCCACGGTCCTTGCACAGCATTTTTAAATTCCCATTTTTCATCTTAAATGGGATTTTCTTTGATGAAACAAAGTATGCATATCGAGAATATAGCTATGTAAACTTTGGTACTGCAAAAAGATTCAGGAGAAACGGCCAGTTTCTCAACATTTTGAGGCCAATCTTGCGGGGCACATTTTCGGACATCACTGGTCCTTGCACATCGGCACAAAGCCAGCCAGCAATTCATGTTCTAAGCAAAGGCAGGCCCATATCTGAAACAGATAACACTCCTGGTCCCTCATATGTCATCACATGAGCCCGGATTGCCCTTACCTGTTCCTCTCACTCAAATCTCAACTTCAACCCATTTAGCTGTAGACCTCATTGTGTCCACCACTTCTTGTGTTCTTTTCTTCATCTTTTTCATGGGACCTCTTTCTAGGCCTCACACTACATTGTTGTCCTGGCGACAGGATATTTGGGTTTGTTTGCACCTCACATGAATGTGATTCAGGATAGGTTTCTTCCTCCTCAATATCCCAACCACCTAATGGCCACGGTTTTCTTTTTGAAGCAAAGGTAGCATTCAGAGTTATGATGTGAAATCTTCAACACATTTTTGGGGATCTGTTTTCAGGTGAAATTCCATGTTCGATGTGAATTTGGGCCATGTTGCCATAATTGCACAGCCATCAGATACCTGAAGGGCTTGACAAAAATGGAGAATGTGAAGGGCACACATATGAAGGGATCCACTTGTAAGAATGAACCACAAACATCTTTTTAGGGCCCAGAACAAAATCACGTGCAAGGACCAATGATTGTGCAAGGACCGTGGAATGACTGTAGTTCTGAACCACATGGTGTCAGCGTAACCGGGTGGGTCATACATATCCAATTTTAAATTTCGAGTGCAGAAGGAAATGTGTGTGTACTTCTCTTGTCGGTTTTTAGCGACTGACACAGCTCAGAGTATAACTCTTCTACATTCTTTGGTACGACGGAAAAAAAGAAGAAATCTAAAGTACGAGTTTTCCGGGCCGGCCATGGCCATTACCCCCGGGTCGTGTTTGATCCGCGCGGGTCATGTATTTATCGGAAGCCTGCGCCCGATTTCTTCAGTCTGAAAAGAATGGTCGCAGTACCCTGAACTCTTGACATACAACACTTTCAACATGAACTCCCCTTCCGCCTCTTCCGTCACTCCCTCTTGTACGGACCCTCCGCCCAACGCACCCCGCTTAGTGTTGCCACTGTCCGGTTCAGAACCGATTCCGAACCTGAACCGAACCGGAACCGAACCCAATGTCCGGTTCGGGGTTCGGAGGATTGGTTAAAGGTTCGAACATGTTCGGACCGATCCTTTTGGGTACCCTGTTTTCATTTCAGAATTCGATGGATTGATGTTATATTGACGTCCACTTCAACATACCATGGGTCCTGCACCAAAGATAAAGTGTTTCTACTCTCACGGCCTCAAGAGAAATGGAGATGGTTGAATTGATGCGCGATCAACAAGTGATTTAAGGGCTGAGAGATTTTTGAAATGGATGTTCAAAGGTCCCCGCCCACCCAGACATACAAAGATGACCTTTTTAGGAGAGAAGACAGTCAATAAAGAGTATTTACAGGCTTTAAGGTTCACATCATACACTGTAGGGTCGTGGGAATTCTTCGGGTTCAAAAAGGTTCGAACCCCAGACCGAACCTGAACACGACCGGACCCCAGGTTCGGTGCGGGGTTCGGATTTTTTAGCAAAAAACCGGACCCGACGGGACATCGGCAACACTAATGACAGCTTGAGCTTAAGTGAGCTTGCGAGCTGAAGCGCAAAGCCGGCTGACTAAGAGAGTGTGCGGAATATGATCGGCGATCAACTTTCTTGCTTCCCGCCGCCACTCTCGCATTTTTCAGAGTTAGCCCCCGCTTGACGAATCCATTCATCACCGTGACACGGTCAGCATGCGAGCTAGCAACAGAACACTCATTGCTGCCTGCGTCTCGGTCGGCGCGGCACCCTCGTCGAGCCGTGCGGGACACGACAACATCAAGTGTGCGGGAGGGTACGTCCGTGAGCTGCACGTATGCGGGCACGAGCCCCGGGGGGTGCGAGTTCAGTGTGTGTGCTTTACTCTTCGTTTTGCTTAAGTTACGGAAGCGTTGTGCACGACGGCGCGTTCTATCGCAGGACGATCCCAGCACGACTTGGGTCCTTCTCTCCGGCTATAGGCGGGCTGCTTTCATCTAACGCACCCGCACCGCGGTGCCTGTCTGTCGGCGCACGCATTTGCATGGCTGTCCTTCGGGATATCTCGCTCTCGTCTGTCGTTGCGCGGCGCGTGCGGGAGGGAAAATTGTGGTACGCCCGTAGTCTTTCCCTCTCCCGTCCTTGCTCTGCCCCCACACCAGCGCGGGCTCGTCGTATCCTGCGCGGCACAAATTCCGTCTGGTTTATCGCCCCCGGGTAGGGGAATGCCATGTCGCTACGCTCTGTCCGCGACTCTTCGCTTTTTCGCACTCCATCCCTGCCCTCGTCTCTCCTGCCCGCATCACCCCTGCTCTTTACTTCGTTCGTGTTCCGTGTGGCGCCGCTCCGATCTTCTTATCTTGCCTTCTGCTGTTACACTTTACGTTTGACTATGCGGGTGTAATGTGCATTACTCCTCAAGGATCTTATAATGCATCGACCCGAATGCACGGTTCTCTGGTTCGGATTCAAAACCGCGCGGAGTCGCGGTGCATGTTTGCTAGAGCTCAGCTGCAGCCATTCGCTAGTTGCTGCGCACCTATCCAGGGACAAAGGTAAAGGAAAGGGACCCAGTAGCGCGCGGCGCGCTTCCGCTTGCAATGCCTCTAGATCGGCGAGGATTTACGCGAAAGATCCCGGTTTGACTCCGGGCTGGGTTCATCAGTGTGGCTTGCTTCACCTCTGTTGTACCCACCAAATTTTCTCGCCAAGCACACTCAGGAGCACTCGGTGCGCCTCCCCCTTCAATGGTCCATATTTGTTTCGAGCGCTTCGAGCGGAACTTGACCTGGTTCGACTCCGGGCTGGGTCATCTTCGAGACTCGCAAATGTTTTTCTCACCATCCGCTCGATATATTCAACCATTTTTTCGGGACAGGACGAAGGAACGCTACAAAATAGCGTGCAGCGCGCAGGATGCGTCTGCTTTGAATTCAGACTCTTTCCACCACTGATCCTACATCGAACAGAATTGGGTGAACACTAATGCGGTCTCCACAACGGACACACCACGCTACTTTCATGTTTGAGGCCACTAATACAATGGAGCTCACGGGTTGTCCTTGAACTAAAAACAAACACAAAACGAAACGCCATCTACATGCGGACGCGGGGAGTCGAACCCCGGTCAACTGCTGAAAATGGGCACCATCTACTGAATGCAGTGGTACGCCGTGCACCACGTCTGCTTGTTGCTTGTATTCCGAGCTTCAATTTATTTCAGGCTTTAGACCACCGGAATTCATGATCTTGAGGTTCCAACATGCCAAGGTTGACTTATCACAGGCAGCGAGAAGGCAGCCTATTCAACGCTATTCAATGTACTACCGTGTTGCATCGACTCGACTCGGAAGGCAAATTTCCTCCTTGAGCGAAAAAAGGCCCGGACTGCATACATGCGGAGGCGGGGAGTCGAACCCCATTCGACTAGTACTGTTCAAGATCCACTCAATGCTGTGCTGTGCCGTGCGCCACGTCCGCTCATTCCCTGAATTTGGAACCTCAAGTCCTGGGCCTGTCGGATGGGAGAATGGTGAGATCTGGCGCACCGAAGGTCGTCCTTTTTCTTGCCACCGAGCCGAGGTATTACGCACTCAGGAGGTCTCTTCAGCACCTATGTTCATGCATCGTGCGATCCGTCAAGGCTAATAATTTGCCCACCTATCTAGGAACAGAATGAAGTAAAGAAGACTCGGTAGCACGCGGGGTGCGCCCGCTCTCCGTGATGTTGATACTAGAAGACACTTTACGCGGAAGGTCCTGGTTCGACTCCAGGCTGGGTCATGTCGTGGCCAACTGTTTTGCTCACCACAGCTATTCGCTAGACATGGAGCGCCAAAGGGTGAGGCGGGGCTGGCGCTGCACTTCGGGCGCGCGCTTCATTGCTGCGCCTGCACAAATACAAACACGTAGAAGCGTGCGATCCAAGCGCAAGCATTTGACTTACTGGTTCATTCTCTCCTGTATATCTGCCTGAATAAGTAGCAGATGTGTATGATGAAGGGATAAGGAAGTCACTTTCCCCCATGACCCAGCCTGGAGTCGAACCAGGTCTGGGATATAACGAGGTACATATAGAATATTAGCGCACAAGTTCGCATGTCATTTCACGTCTTAAATTCGTATGTCGAAACCACGGTATCCACTTCCAAGGAAGGAAGCAAGGGAAGGCTGGTGGATTGGGCGCGGAGTGTCGAATTGCGGGTGGGTTACAGGTTAGACGTTGTTAGATAACGAGGAGAGGTGTGCATTAGAGAGAGACAGAGACAGCGGTGAACCGAAAGAGATTAGTAGTAATGGATGTGCGAAACTATGAGGACAGGGGAATAGTTCCAGAAATCATAGAAAGACATCCCCGGCGTATGGAGAATCGCCGCATAGCCTGGAATATCCATGCAGGGACGGAAGCTGGAGTGTTCGTAAGAGAACAGTAGAGGCAGAGCAAGCGAGAGATATCCGGATACCCCAGGGATAGCCGGGCAGCGAGGAATTCTGAGGAGATGCGCGGAGCCGACGCAGGAATTATTGCCGAGTTTGGAGACAGGTGTCAAGCAAGACTGTTTTTGTGAATTTGGCAGCGGCCGACGAGGCTTTATCAGCCAGGGAATTCCGCATGGGCGGTGACTTGTTTCAGTTGAACGCCCGGGATTGAAACGAAGGGAGATCTTTGAAGCACGGGGGTACACTCCGGCGTTTGGGAGACTCGGTTATGGTTACGTTCAAGCACAGACAAATACGAGCGGTGCGCGCGGTACGGGCATCTCGGGTGAATTAACAGAGATTCGCGGTGCGTTTAGCCAAGTAGATTTCCTGTTGTGCGAGAAACGAGTATGAGCGGAGAAATTTCAAGTGACACGGACCTGGGAAGGGAGCGGGGCGCCGCGTCGATACTAAAGAGAGATGTTCGTTTCCCGCGGAAAGCCAGTTGATGGTGAGGATGGAGGATGGAGCGCACAGGGAGGCTGAAAGGCGAAAGACCGTTCGGAACGTCCATCCGCGCAGGTTTTCGCCGCATGACGCATAGGCAGTGGGTCGAATGCGGCACCAGGCAAGTAACGCGAGAGGAATGCAAGGCATTGAAGTCCAAGAGTGGATTGGGGCCGTCGCACCGGGGGGATGTTTTATGCGTCGCGCGAAATTTGTTGCGAGCGAGAGATTGCGAGTGCGAGGCGATACGGCCTTTGCTGCGGGAGCAAAATGTGGCAGCGGGGGCGGAAGCCCGACGTGGAAGCTCAGCGCTCAGTTTCGGACTCGCGTTTGAGCTCGTTGGAGTGCGGAGCCAGGCGTCTAGGGTGAATTCGGGATTGTATGACGTTTGAGTAGCGAGCGACGCAAAGCTCGAGTGGCTCAAGACGATATGACTTAATAATATTAACGCTGCGGGTTCAAAAATCGCTATACTAAGCATAATCCAAGTAGTAGTAGTAGTAGTAGTAGATTTATACACAGCATGGTCCAGACACTGAACACTGTGTTCCCAAAATTATCCCAGCGCGCACAAGTCTCTCACGCCTTCGTTTTGGACTCCAATTCTCCGACTTGACGAGCTATTCGCAATCAGAACGTCTATCAAAAGCCTGAGAGGAGGGAGCAAAAGGGGAAATTAGTCAGTAACCTGCGGTTGTATCAGCCAATGTAGAGGTAGAGGTGGAATATGCATCGGAGTAGCTTCGAAAATTTCGGTGACACGAAACGCGTATTTTGCGACCAGTGAGATTGTGTGCCGGTAAGATATCATCAGCGTGAAGAAGTCCACAGCTGACATCGAGTTAAGCGACGGGAGTCCTCGGATATCATTGTTCATACGGGTCAAGAAATCGTTGCGTAGCATTACCAGATCCGCCGCTGCTGTGCATTCAAGCAGTGCGTGTTCTGGTGACTCGATTTTGACCTTGCAGAATCGGCACACTCGTAAGTTGCGGTCGATACGCGGGCGGCGGTGTTCAACCCATCGTAGCCGTTCCAGGGCAAGACAGTGGCTTGACAGAAGGAGGCGTGTTAGCGCTTTCCGATGCTTTGGGTTCACAACATTCAAATAATGCCGGAAGCACAAACTTTTCTGTATGGGCTCACTATCTTTGTCCGGTTCCACCCTCCCTCGCAGGAGGTACAGTTTCGGCGCGTTAGGATCATCGATTGACCATTGGAGGTACGCTCGAAGACCGGCATCAACAGACTTGATAACCGCTTCAACCATCTGCGGTGGGATGGTCGACAGCGCGGGAAGCACAACGTTGAACGGCAGATTGTGGATCACGTATCGTAGATCCATTGCCCAGGATGCTTTACCCTCGTCTGATAGTTGCACCGAGTCTTCTCCCGCCACTTTGACATATCTGTCAGTGTTTTTGAGCGTGGTGAGATATCTCAGGTGTGTAAGTGCCAATGTAACTCGCCTGAAGCGCAGTGGTACGAGACCAGTTTCGGTGTATAGCGGTGCCGTCATCGAACGCTTGTTTAAGCCTAGGATGCGTCGTAAGAAGTCATTTTGTACGTCCTCGAGGGGTTTAAGGAGATCCGGGTCCACGTCGAGACTGACTTCGCAGCCGTGTGTGAGGTGGGGATCAACCAATGCCATGTACAGTTTGCGGGCCTCCCAGACTGGGAGGGTTCCGACCATAGACTCTAGTCCTAGCAGCGTCCCGGCGATCGATCTCGCTTTGCTTGCCTTTGTCAGATAGTGGTCTTCGAAGATATTCCTCTTCGTGGAGTTGAGATTGAAGCCGACATATTTTGCGGTCTTCACGATGGTAACCGTATCTTTACCGAAGCGAAAGACTGACAGTAGCCTCGGAATGGAGCCCAGGATCATCAGCAGGGATTTAATAGCGTTGATTATCATGAAGTTGATGCTGCACCATTTCCAGAGTGCGTCCATCTTCTTCTGCGCGCCGTTCGGGGTAAACGAGATCAGAAGCACATCATCGGCTTGTTCAAGGTTTGTGATGAAGATTCCCGCGAGTAGGATATCCGTGGTTTCATCCGAAAGCAGCTTGAAGTCCGAGAGGTACAGTGTCCACATAATTGGTGAGGAGGTGTCTCCAATCAGGATCCCCAGAAGTGCGCGGAACAGAGTTGATGTTTCTGATTCGTGTCTGACAATGTAGACCATCCGTTTGTATAGCATTCGAAGCCAGTCAAATATGGGACCGCCCGCCCCAGCTCCCCGCATTTTCAACCAGAGAGTTGCTTGGTCCGTGGAGGGGAACGCGTTGCTAAGGTCGGCGAAGACAACGTAGAGCGGTACGCCCATCGCACGGGCACGATCAATGGCGCAGCGTAGGATGAACATGTTATCGTTTGTGTGGTAACCTTCGCGGAACGCGTTTTGGGAGTTTGGGAGCATTCCCACGGCTGCGCACCATTTTGTGAGTCGCATATGGATTAATAGTGTGACAAGTTTCAGGAAGCAGCTCTCCAGTCCGATGGTGCGGTAGCTATGTCAAGTACTGTATTATTACGATCAATTCGACTAGAGAGCTCCGACTACGTCGGAAGAGACCTTGCTGGACAAAAATAAGTGTAACTTGGTGTCTTTCCAGTTCCTGCTTGCACTCTTCAATTGTGTTGGTCCTGCAGATTGCTGCGTGTGGGCACCTGGGTGGCAATACTAGCCGGTAATGTGTAATAATTGTGTAACACCCGTGAATTTACCCACCGTATGTAAACGAGGACAGCAAAGTTGTATGATTGGCTCGGCAGAACTAGGATCAATGGGTGGGGCAAGATCAGAGCCAATTATGAGTGTGGAGAGACCTTGACAAGCAAGGTAACAGTCACGGGTCACGGACCCCCCTGTCGATGTCGAAATATGGTCGGGGTCACGGGTCACGGAGGGGTCTGTCGAATGCAACTTTCGTCACGACCAACCCAAATTTCTTTCAACCATGCTAAAAACCTGAATTTTACGTCTCGGATGTCGAAATTTTGAAGGGTGTCACGCCAAAATTCGGTGGTTGTCGAATTGTCGAATTGGTTTTTAGGTCACGGGTCACACCCCCTGTCGAATTGATCGAAATAATACAGTACGGGTGTGCGTTAAAATTTATTCTCCCCTTCCCCCCAAGTGCAATGGCGCCCAGTGAACCTGACATTGAAACCGGCCCTGTTTACATACCCCATACCCCTTGTCAACACTGGTCTAGACTAAACTTCACACGCATCAATTCACGACTCGCACGAGTGACAGTAACGACGACGAACGTTACCGGTTTCTATCCGCAGTAACGTCACCGATTTCTATCCGCTGCGGCCATGTTATCCCCAGCCAAGAAGAGGCGCGTGCAGCGCGCCTGCGATATATGCAGACTGAAAAAGCGTAAGCCACTTACCATTTCCATTCCTTGCAAGCCAACTATATCTGGAACCGTTCAGGAGCCTGTATTGGCGTTTCCTCCGCTTTGCGGGGATCCACACGCTCGCTTCCAGGCGATGGGGTCCGCAGTTCCGCGACGAAATGCTCGAACTGCGTCGAGAGTGGTGCGCATTGCACCTTCGGCGGTGCTGTCGTTAAGCGTAAAAAGTGAGTCGGCTTAGTACTCTGCTCCTGGATATCCCTCGATAATAATCCCAGTTACATCGACGTCCTGGAGTCACGACTAGAACTCACAGAACAGTTGTTGCGCAAGGAAGGGCTCGCGTCATACACCATGACATGTCCGACTAATATCGCCCCTTAGCTCTCACCCCAGTCTGAAGTGATAATGAATACCTTGGGCTCAGGGAGTATCCAATGGAGCAGCGACTCTCCGGTATTCGCTCACAAAAATGGTGATAATGCTGGA